AATCATAAATATGACAATGGATAAGTTTATATATTTTATCTTTTCTTCTCACAGATTCGAATGCCAAGGATAGCACCATAATAGTTTTGATATTGGATTTTGAAAATTTGCTGAGAATAAAAATAAAATGCTTACAAAATGTTGCTGCAGTCAACATACAAACACTCTGCAAATGAACATTTCACAATGATTCAATTCAAACTATGTCCATATACTGTAACATTTGCATTTCAACTCGATTTGTTTGAATGTTCGTACCTGCAACAATTGCCTGCATTGGAATTGTAATTTCGAATGCCATACAAAGCGTATGCAGTTTGTATAAAAAGACATAAAGTTAAACAAAGAGCTTTAGCCAAGCAACAACCAATGCCATTTGCCTATGTATATGAGTGTATGTATGGATCAAACTCATTCAATGCAAAATATTGTGGTAAAATGTCTATTGGAATAATGAATCATTGCCTAAATGTTCAAATCAATTGAAGTAACAATTCTCTTCGGTTTTTCATTGAAACGTTTTGACCACTTATTGAGAAAATGCATGTATGCATGCATTTCGTTCCATTAAAGAACAAGTGATTTTAACATTACGCTTGAAAATCAGAATCAACACTTCAAACACGAAACAACACAAATCACATGCATATTAGACATCAGATGCACATTAATTTTTTGAATTGACGCTTGATACGTACAATGAATAATCGAATATTTTAAGCAATAGCATTGGAAAATCGTAAAGTATTACGATTGAAAAGTGATTATTGTTGTGAACGAAGTAACATATTGTGGCTAGCGGTCAAATGTTCCCGAAGGGACGAAATGTCCGTCCGTCCGTCCAACATTTTTGGTCCGTACACACTTTTTTGATGGACGGACAATTCATTTCGGACGGACACGGTCCATTTTTGCGGACAGACGGACACCCTAAGAATTTAAACGAACATTAAACGGACTGATATGTTGGACGGACGGACATGTCCGGACAATTCATGGATATGGATATAAATGAGACGTACATGATGGATATAAAACAGACGTACATTATGGATGGTCGGACGGACAATGCATGAAAGGCAGTGGACTTTGAGTCATTCATACGGACAGTCATGTGTGGATTCCTTAAAGAAGGCATTGTGAAACATACGTACAAAGCAAGCGGCTTGCTACACAGTAACCACCCCCCTGAAGTGCAAATTTCAGAAGCTGTGGCTATGAATTTAACTTCATGGGTTTATGTGCTGCGACATAGTTACATATTCAATTTCATTTCGATTGTTAAATGCAGACAATATATTTGGATTTTGTCATCTGGATATTTCAGCTCATCTGGATAACGTTAAGTGATGATATGAAATGAAAACAATACAAGTGATTGCTATGGTTATGATAGTATTTTTATACCTATACAATACAACAATCACTTCTATTATTTTCACTTCATATCATCGCTTAACGTTATCATAGCTTCTGGAGTTGGCGATTTCAAAATTTTCCAAAAATGTAAAGGGGTAACTTTTTCGATTTGGTCTCGCACGAATTCAAAAATGCATTTGAATAGTTCATTCCTGGGGGGAGTTGTCTCAAAGCATTTGCCTCAAAAAACACTAGCAAATTGAAAGATTTTTCTCTTCGGTCAAAAACCCTAGCAAATTTAAAGATATTCTTCTCCAAATAACCCTAGCACAATTGAATATTTTCTCCCGTTTTAGAAAGTGAAGAGCAAAAAAAAGGTCTTCACATTTTTCGCGAAAATCCTTAGCAAATCGAAAGAATATTTTTCTCAAAAAAATGAAATTTCTAAGAGGGTAATTCTCAAATCTGTTCTCCAGGGGGGGGGGGTAATCCAACCCCTCGGACCCCTGCTCAGAAGCTATGAACGTTATCCAGAAGAGCTGAAATAACCAGATGACAAAATCCAAATATATTGTCTGGTTGAATGTGTCCCAAATTTGGATCGTTTGCCATCGGTTTGGGTGAACAAAAAACCAATAGAAATAAAATATTCAGTCAATGATTGAATCTAGTTAATAATCAATAAATCCAAAGTGGTGAAAATCACAGTGAATATCATGGTGAAAATTTATACGTAGTAATCCATCGATATAGGATGTATGTGCATCTTTTGATATATATATGAGACTCATGAGTTTTGTACATATTCAATATTAACTGTTGTGCGCTTTCACTTGATTGCTTCGATAAATATCATTGGATTCATTGAAAATTCAGGCGGTAATTGTGAAATTGAAATGGAAGAAAGTTTTGTTTTTAATGTAAATCGACCATCTGCGCACAGCTCAAATCAATTGAAGCTACGAACTCTTTTGTTATTCGAGAGTTTGGACTTAGTTTTTAAACAAACGATGCGTTGAAAATGTGCTTATCGATGGAAATGTTGCGATGAAAAGATTACGAACGACAGCAACAATATAATGTTTGTCAATAAAAATAGATTGCCGAAGGTTCGAAAGTCACGCACAAATATTGGCTTCATCGAGCGATTAATAATCGAATGAAATATAGTACGTAATTAGAAAAGTTTGACATAAGAAATAACAGACGGACGTTACGGCAACAAAATGAATGACAATGGCAACTGGGCAACAGCGGCAACCGATATGATGTGACAACGGCAACATCATAGCTTATGCATATTTCATTAAATTGTCATTTGTAGTAAAAGTTTGTGAAAAGCTTCATATTAAAATAGATTGGAGCGTATTGTTGCCACTTCTGTCAGCAGTCGAAATGCCAATTATTATTACGTGTGCGCGGCGTCTTTCTTTTCGTTTACGGTGTTTTTTTTTCTTCTTCATTTTTCGTCCTTGTTTTGGTGAAATTTTCACATTCCTGTACTTTCTTTCCCTCTTACTCCCATTCGTTATCACGATACTTCAGTTTCATATATGTCATGTCAGCAATTCTGTGGCAACCACTAAGCTGACACATCGAATTTTTAATGTTACATTCTGTCACTGGTGCTCACGGTCAATATCCCAGAAAATATTCTTTCCATTGCTAGCGGTTTATTCGCTCTTCAAAGTTGCGAGCAAGCATTAGCGCAATCCAGAGCAACGAAAATGAATTGTGAGGTGACGAGAAAAAATTCAACCAACCGATCCATATATTCACATCGAGAGAAAAATATATACATATATATATCTAAATACTTGGTCTACTTGCTGGCATTCGATGTTCATTGCGTTTTAGGTAAATGGTAAATAATAAGTGAATGAAAGGTGCAAAAAAAAAAACTGAATGTCATCAGTTCAATATAGATGAGCTGACTACCTCGGGCAAACGTAATGCATATAAACACTAAATTGACGTTGGTTTTATACGTAACATACCATAATTGAGCATCGATCCAAATTCATCGCGGTTGATTGACATTTAGATGAAGACCCATGATGAACGTTTCGCCAACACGCATACACACAACCAATAAGTTATCGTGTCGATATTCATGCTGCTGGTGTACACTGTACATTGTTTGTATTTGAAATGGTACACGTTTTCACGTATAATTTGAACGTATAGCACAAATGTTAATGAAATGATGTGTAGGAAAACGCATCAACACATAAAACCTAATCTGCTTGATATGAACACTCATCTTGGATGCACATTCAATTTATAATAAAATGTCTTTTTATTCATTTTTATCATTGATGGCGATGATACTGTTTCACGTCTTCTTCTATTTTGTATGTGCGCTCCATTTGTAAACGCATTTTTGTGTGCTTCAGCCGTGTGACTCAAAGAATATGGAATATTCGTCGTTTTTTTTGTTTGAATATTTTTTTTTTATTTGGACGGATTCTGGAAAAAAGGCGTTCTACTCATTGAAACACCCATCATTCAGATGATAGAAGAAGTATTGTTATATATAAAAAAAAATCGAAAATTTCGTATGCGCGCATAATGTACGCAAATGTGTAGATTTAAATGATATTATGATGTTGAAGGAAACGCGATGCGAATGAAAAGCACATAGAAAAATTATCGCTGGGATGTGTTATGTAAATTTGTTTCGATTACTCGTAAACTTAATTTCCATTTCAATGTTTCATCATCTCGGCTCCACAGTCGAGAGATATATAGACAGAGATAGAGATAAAGAGAGTGAGAAAGAGGATTTCATCTGACAATACTGTGTATTTCTCAGTGTTTTAATTTACATGCGATTTGCCAAATCGTCCCTAATCCAGCTGTTGACAATCCGCAAAAGAAAATCGTACCACAAAAAGATAACGACAACCATGAAGAGAGACGAGAAGAAAAAACGAAGAGAAATCAAATATAATAAAAGCAGTGTTATTGTTGCTATTACTCTTTCCGGCCACATCACAGCAGCCAACAATAAAAATAATGACAACGACAAGAATAACAGCAACAGCAACAACAAGGTGGACGATGAAACCAACGCTCAATGGAACATTTCTCTATTCCATTATGGTTTTTAATGAAACAACCGCCGATTTTCATGCTACACATAATTTCGTAAACTAGGATAATCCTAATGGCGCACAATCAACTCAATGTCCTTTTACGACGATTTCATTTCGTCCATATTGTGTCGCTTTTGTGGTATTCAACGAACAATATTATGTGGAAGGAAAAAAAAAACAGTTATGATTTTAATAACATTCATTTCAAGTCAAGAACTAAATTAAGTGGCCACCATAATCAATAATTGAGATGTAACATCTTTTTTTTCGTATATACATTTTCAATTATAAAATTACCTTCAAATGATGTGAGAGATGAATGTAATTTGCCATGATTTAATGACATAACAAAGATAGAAATAGTGAACATTACAACAATAAGGATATCAACGAAGTTCGTTATCATTGATTGAAACAGGAAAATCATCTTTGGCGCGTGTTTTTTTTTTCTCTTTTATTTTTGGTTTGTTTTTCGTGTTTGGCTTATTATTCAGTGCTTTTTTTCTTTCTACATTTTTATAAATGTTAGTATTTAAAACTTACCACGTCAATCAGTTGCGATAATTTAAGCTTAATGCTGACTTTAAGCACATCCGAAGTATTCACCACGGGCCTCACTAATTTGTTATAATTACTTAATAAATCGTCATACAGGCGTTTTGCATCTGGATTTCCGCCGACCACGCCATGAACAACAAGAGCTGATAAAATCCATGATAAAATACATGCTCGTAGTGTTTCGGCTGTAGTCAGTGGCATTCTCATGGTGATTGTACACGTTTGACGTACTTCTGTTGAATTTTTGCCCTTTTTATTTTCGAACTAATTTGCGATGGAATTTAATAACGTTCGTCTTGTTTGTATATTTCGTTGAACGATGACGTTGATGTTGCTGGTGGATGTGACGTTATTTTTGGCGATAACTTTTTTTCGTCTTTCTTTCTCCTATTTTAGGCGCTCTTCCTCTAGCCTGTCCACACGTTCTACTTCTCTATTCGCTGTTTTGCTATCGGAGCCAAATTGCACATCAGCACATTTAGTGCGAGATGAACGAAGAACGGAGCCGTGAATCGACTCCTTTTATGCACTTTTTGTTCACGTTTTTTTCTGTTTTCTTTTTTGCTTTGTACAAGGGACAGAGAAAAAAACAAACAAACAAACAAATTCTTACGGCGACAACAGACACTTTTGATATTTTGTTTCACTTCGTCGCTGCAACAATTTAATTTGAGCAAATAGTTTTCATTTTCACTGCTGTCTTCCTGTGTTTGCGTGCGAATATGTATTGTATCATTGCACCGAATTCCTTTTATTTCTCAATTCTCGTGTTTTTTTTTTTTGTAATCTGTACTTTGCTGCTGCCGCTCTCTTACGAAAAACTGTTTTTATGGGCGTTATTTATTTGACATTAAATTTTTCGATCTTTTTGTCTTCATTTATGCTCAGCGCTAATTCCTTTTGCCAATCCATGAAGTTCGTTTCAGCTAATTAAAAAGAGAAACAAAGAAGAAAGAAAAAGTGAAGAAAAAACATGTTAGATATTATACCATTTTCGTGAAAATTGAAGTAGATGGAGTTATTTTGTTATAAAATTCGGATAGAAAGTCATAACGAGAAACTTAAATTCGTACCAATTGAGATTCGCGAACGACATTTTTTGCGAAAATTGCTCACGTATCATTTTCATCCATTTGCAAAATTCATATGAACCCGTTGTGCACTGCAAAATGATGGCATTTCATTCGAAGACCGATTTCGATTTTAATGATGCTTCAATGAGAGCAATTGAAATTTTTTAAATGGCCCGGATACAAAATCATCTTAAGTAAGGTGTTTATGTTATGTGAAAAGCCAACCATTTTCTTTCTCATATCACTTTTTTTTCGTTCAACAAATTAAGAACCAATTAAACTCTGCCATTGTGTATTAAATTCAACACCAACGATACAATAAAATATCAAGTATTTGGAATAGCATACATTTATGCATCATTTTATGCTAGAATTGCTTGCTTCCTTGATCATTCCCATTAATTCGTGTGAAGCAAGCACGTCGTGCACTGCCAGATCCAAACGCACAACGATGCATCATTTAATGCCTCGCATAAGTGTATGCCATTTTAAATGCTTGTAAAATATATATATATATTTGATGAAAAAAACCGAGTATATTTACTTCACTACATAAAAATGTAATTGGAAGCAATTATTTGAACATCGGTCAACAACGAAATATGGAAATGGGTTTCGATGTATGTTAATTCGTCGGGGGATAAACAAGGGGATATCAATAATCTTCAGTTTAACTACGTCGTTTGTGTGTTTTGTTGCATTATGAATTCAAATAAAGGAAGAAAAAACCCGAATGGATGGAAAATTGGTATATTGTTGTGATGTTGGTTTAACCGAACGTCGCCACGCACTTCGTCTGATTAAAATGGTTTTACATAAATTCTCGCAACTTTTTACAACATCAATTCAATCATTTTTCATGGATGAAAAATTCATTGGTTGGTGTTTGTTCAATTTGCGATGCGCTATTTCATTTAAATATTGAACGAATTTTGTTGGTGAGTGCATTTTCTTCAAAGATATGCGTTACATATATCGCAAGTTCGATGGCAACGACAATAAACAACAACAAGTACAAACTGCCAATGCACAACAGCACAGTAAATATATCAGCGAATCGATCGCGCATCGAACACGAATCGATAATTTTCAATTTAAAATGCTAAGTGAATAATAGTATAATGGCAAAACGCTATATATTAAAAGATGCGGTGTGAACGCATGCTATGATTGGCCAAACGCAAATAGGGAAATCTATTTCATGTGCACCATGCACATAAACCGATTGATCTTGGTTTGTGTGTAGAATTATTCTTCTTGACTCGGTCACTCACTCAGTATTATATTGCTCAGTATTTTTTGGTGCCATTTCTACTGTGTGTTGTTTTATTTTATTTAAGCTTTTTTGAAATTCTATTCTTTTTTATCGACATTCATCCATTTCGTTCGTCTGCGTGAGAAGCGAATGGTTTTGTTTTTCATTGCATCTTCAATGACGATAAAAATGATCATAAAATATCTCTCTGTCATACTGACTGGCTGTATGTAAGTCGCGTTACATACACACGGATACGACTTTAAATCCAGTTCGGCTACAATTACAACTCGTATTCGATATGACATTTGAAAACTGTCGCATAAATCAAATCATTCCAGCAATGAAACAAGTGTGCATCGTAAGCAAACCATAGCAGTGGTTGGAATTTAAAAAAATTAAAAAAACATTTTGTGGTACGAAACGCTTTAATTTCATCAATTAAATCAAACTGCTTGAAATTGTGATTTGAATAAGAATTACTGAATGTTGACGCAATCAAAATATGGATATCGACTGTATTTATAATTTCTACAATTTTCATATTGCTCCCTCGTTGGCTTTTCCTTACTGTATCAAAATGTAATAATATCAACTTCATCCAATATTATGAATGTACACTTTTTTTTATTCGAATGGGATTGATACAACCATTACAACTGGTGCTGCTTGAAATTTATTCGAAATCGAAGCTTAATCCATATAATAGAAGCCAGTATTAACCACACTTAAGCCACATATTTTGCAAGCAAATCGAAGAAAAGGGAGCAAGAAAACAATCCGTTGAATATATAAATAACTGGCATAATATTGATTCTATCATGATATGAAGGTTGCCGAGTGTTGGCAAAATGGGAATTCTCTGCAATTCAAATAGAAATACATCCTCATGCTCGGTGCTGAGTACCGTCCGTCAGTACAAAGGACTATATACCCAAGCAATAGAAAACATATGCATAAAAACCCGATTTCGAAATGATTTGAGAACTTGTTGTCCCAAAGTGTAGTATGTATATATGCCTTTGATTGAATAAGAGCATCAATTCGTTTCATCTTATCCCGCTTCGTTTTGTTGCCACAATTCGTTTATTTTTTTTTTTGCCTTTATTTCTCTTTTTCTTGCTCAATTGCCATCTATTTTTGTCGATTCATATCGATCGACAATATTGCAGCCGTCAATATTTTGCTATTACTCAATGTCTTCATGGCTTCAGTAAAATTTGTCGAAACATTATTATATTACAAACGAGAGAAGAAACGACCAGCTGTTCACAATTTGACGTGTGTCAAACGCTTCAAATGCTCAACATAATTTTGGCGTTACATAGCGATTAAATGTGATGTGATGCAGAAACGACAATACCAAACTAAAGAAAGAACTCCATTTTACAGGTGATGTTCAATGCAATTCATCGAATTTATAATACATTCATGTTCAAGAAGGCATATTCATAGGAGGCATGTGTGACTCTGAGTGTACATTCTTTTCAATAGTTTTTTTTTTTTTGGTTTTTTCTTTTTTTTTACGTCGTTCACATTTTACTTTAGATATTAGATGAATCACATAATTGGAAGCTGGTGCCGTTGGCAGTGAAAGTACTTCTTTTACCGCTATTCGTATTTTCATTTTTATATTCACCGTCGTACAATAGTACCATTCATTGCAAAGAAACACACACAGAGAGACACACTCATACGTTCACCTAATCAATAGAATATTTCGCCGATCTTTATGTATATTTCGTTTTCGATTATTGATTGATACATTATTCACAAGTTTGCGTTTTATAAGCATTTTATTTTGAAGATCGTTCACCTGACTCTATCATTTCTCTCATATGTCTTTACTCTAACTCGTTTATCACTTGCTTTACAATCATAAGGCATTTTATCATTTCTTATAAGGTCTTCGTGAGAATAATAATAATAATAATAAAAAAACGAACGAAATAACGGAAACACGAAAATTCACATAAAATGCTTTTTATAGATACACAAAATATGACCAAATTCGTTTATGACGATACATGCTGTTCCAACATCTTGGATGTGATTATTTATTTTTCGCACGATGTTGATGATGAAGACTACGACTGCAACGGCAACGGCGACGATGAAGTAGCAACGAATTGAACATTTTCGGCAGCTGGTAATTTTCGTTTAATGATCATATCTTCTAGATATGTTGGTTCGCATTCGCGTTGATAATTTTTCTACCGTTTCAACTGGCGATTCATGGCTCCGGATTATGACATATAAACAAATCGAAATTCGCTGGCCCCGTTGATGATGTAATTTATAGCATGTGGATATAAAATATTCCACTTGGTACAATCTGGCGCTCATGGAAAATGAACGAACAAATAAAGTGAAGCAAAAAAGAAGAAAAAAAATAACGAAGAGGTAGAAAAATATCGAAGAATATTGGCAATCGTTAAGGATGTGCCGTTGTGAAAAAAGGGGCATTCAATTCAGTGAGAACATTCATTGGTATTGGATATCATTTGTGTGATGCCAACGAGATAGGTTAATGAAAGGCAAGCTGGGGCTTAGCATATACACAAGAAATTCGTCATCGAATACTTTTAGAATGAAGATGCCTTCATTATGCCTTCCTGGTGCTTTGTGTCTCTCTGTAAGTTTGATTCCATTTCTTCAGCATCAAATGGGACCGACGGAATATTAATACAATTTCGTTCCATTTTCAATGGAAATATTGAAGGCTTTTTGCATTGACACCAGCATTTTTATGTACGTGCAATTTACAAAACGGTTTTTTATTTCTCGCTCTTCATTTCAGTTCTTGTATTATTCGTTTTATTTCATTTTTTGTGTTCATTTCGATTCAGCAAACATTGTTCGGCTGAATAAAATTCACGGAATGACAAATTCGAATATGCACTCATGCCAATCAATCTATATAAATCCCAAAAACATACACATCCAGTGTGTATATGTGTGTGTGTGTGTGTGTGTGTGAGAGAGAGAGAGAGAGAAAGAGAGAGATAAAAAGCACAAACGAATAATCTCTAAAGTCCAAAAATGCTGTTTGCTTTTGAATTTGGTCCCTGTTCGCTGGAACAGAAACTATAGCAGCTATACGACGACTGGCTTTAAGCAAATATTTAATCTCTTATCGAATTCACAACATAAATAATTTCCCCATGCTTTTGAACAAGCCAAATGAATTACACCGAATTATGCTACGGATTGCTTGAAGGCACTTACAAATGTATCTAGCACGCTATGCGCTCGCCGTTTGTTGCTTTAGTACATGCTCTCAGATTTGTATTTGTGCTACGCATAATTGTAGTTATGATAATAACTATATCACTGAACTGGAAGCAGTTGTACAACAACATCGAAACGGAAGATAGAAAACGAACGAGCAAGAGAGAGAGAAAGAGAAAGTGCGAATGTGTGCATTAAATAAAGTGAGTACTCACTCGTCCACAGTCGCGCCCGTTCCGCGCACACAAACAATTCTCGATGCACAACATACAATATTGTTTTGTTTCAAGGGGGTATGCACGCCATGCTATAGAGTTGAACGGTTTTCCGTAACAAAGCTTTTCGACTGCTCACATTAAAATGCACC